TGTGTTGCGTCCCCAACCCCAGAAGGCTTTGGTAGAGGAGGGAGAGGATTGCAGATTGAGACATATTGAGCTCGCTTTTAAAAGGATCATTTCATCATGTGGGAGGTTGGGACACACAAAGTTTGGACCCGTGACTGGCATTCCGGAGAGAGACATGCATATTTTAAAACAACAAAGCAAGACAGGGACCGGGGGGGTGGGGGACTTTTGGGTGGAGAGGGAGGGGAAGAAAAAAAAAACTTTGAAAGAAGTTACTAACAGATGAACAGCTGTCATTATTGGGCTCGACTAGAGCGCATATTAAGATGTAGTCGTCTGGTGTGGGGGTGTCTACAACAACTCGTTGAAAGATTAATCTTTGTTTGTTTCAGGTTGATCTATTTCATAATATTATAACTAATTATATTTTCAGGATTTGTCCATGTTAAACTTGCCATTTTTGGTCAACCACATATTCCACATATTTTATTAATTTATCTAATAACTTAGTTATTTATGTAATTAATTTTGAGTGAAACATAAAAGAATATTATCCTGGAATAGTTTCAATAAGAAAAATGAATAAATAAATAACTAAACCGAAGCTCAGAATCCTTCTACACCATAAAACAATGCTGGTTAGTTCCATCCTTTATTTTGGGGCTATTATCAGTCAAATGTCCGAGTAACACCGTCTCAGGACCAATTTAAAACGTCTACCACTTTGTCACGTCACACACAATTGTATCTCTCTCAAGCAAAGCCGGTGCGCTTAGCGCTGTCACTTCTGCACAGCTTTTACAACATCACTCCCCCCTCTTTTTCCCCCCACATTCTCTCTCTGTCTTACTTTTCTAGAGGCTTTTTTCCCTCTTTTCTCTCTCTCTTGTCTAAGGGTCCATTCGCGCAAGAAGGAGTGAAGAGGGCATAAATAAAAATGCGCTGGCTGTGACGAGAGATCTGTCCGCTGGAAATGAAGGACCGGGGGGTGGGGGGGGTGCATGCAGTGGTGTAGAGCTGGATATCTCTGTTAGTTGTCAGCGTTTAGTCCATGGCTGTGGAATGCTAATGAGCGAGGTCTCTCTCTCTCTCTCCCCCCTTTCTCCCCCTCCTCGTCACCCTCCTCCTGTCCACCCCGCCTTCTCGCTCTCTCAGGGAGAAAAAGCGGATCGATAGCTGACCCGATGGTTTTGGCCAATGGTTTATTTATCTGACCAGGCAATGATATTATCAGCCTTGAACGTTATATACAGCAAACGTCTTCCTAAATCAACACAAAGAGATCCGCTTACACAGCGGTCCACAGGCTTTCTCACAATCATCTCTCCCTCTCTCCCTTTGGCTCATGCGCTTACGTACGGTTTGTGGATACGCACGGGCGCACGCAGACATACATTGTGCGTGCCATAGTTCCAACAGTCGGGCGTGTGCGCGTATAAGTAGGGAGGCGTCCCTTGTGTTAAATTCGCAGCTCCAGAAGGGCTGGATTTGATCCATGGCTTAAAGGTTGCCTGTGTGGTCTGCGGACTGATCTATGCCACCAACTCTATATAGAGCTCATGCAACTAGATGTGTCTGGATGCTGAAATGTGGCACGCATCTCTCCCCTCACACAAGCATTGGCCATCAGTTCCCAGCCATCTTGAAACACCCAGGTGGATGGATGAGCTATAATGCTGAAGCACTTGTTGTCATTTTTTTTTTTAACCATATGACAATATGAGAAATAAGCCGCGTCACACTTCAGAGGGGGGGGCTCCCAATCGTTTATATACGCAGGAGCCCCGGCTATTTGGAAACTGTTATTGTCTCAAACAGCCGTATTTGTCAAATGTGAGCGAGCTGCTGCTGCTGCTGTTTCTTCTAAGTGAAAAGTAGTGACGTGTGACGCCAAATAGGACGTTTTTCTTTCTTTCTTTCTTTCTTATTTTTTTCCACCGCTGCAGAACGCTGCAACACCGGTCTACATCGAGGGGTTCAGGAGAAATAGGGCTCCCTGACAACTTGGGATAATAAATGTTTCGCTTTCAGACAGATATCTCAAACGTGAAATCGCACCCAGCTGCTTGTGTAAAAGCAAACAAATAGCCCCCACCCGTGTTGGGAGTACTCCACTTGTGGTTTGATGAATGAAACCAGACAAAGGTAAATGGTTATTTAACTCATTTCGCTGTAACACTTTGGTGACCGGCGTTTCCTCATATCCATCTCCTTCTACCCACCGCAGGTAACCTGACAGTGCAGGTATTTCCTTCTAATTAATGTTTAATTAATAACAGCTAATGTAAAATTTTAAAAAATGACACGTTATTATTTTTTAACATTTAAAATATTACACGAGGGAAAAGTCTTTATAAAAAATGAAGTATCTCAGCAAAAATCCGTTTATTTCCAGGGTCCTCACATGTTTCATTTGTATTGCCTATAACTGAAACGTTAATTAGGAACACATGCCACCATTTTCATGTGTTTTTTGAACCGCGGCTTTATATAGCCTGCAGTGTAACAATTGTAGAACAGAATGCTCTCAGCGAGAGGATAAAAGATAGTTACTCTGGAGGGGATTCTGAATACATTATGTGGAGACAGGCAGCTGAAAGCTACATTTAATAATCCTGCAAACACACTAAATTCGTATCTACATTAAATAACACAACAACATAAACAAATGGGGCGTGATGGCCATATATAATCGTTACCTGTTATCGTGTGAATTCAAAATCTACATTTGAAAAAAAAATAATAATTACAGAGAAATAGCTCCTTTCAAGTTAAATATCACTAATTTTTTTAAAAATAATTTTATTTTCCATTAAATGCCCTTTTTTCACCGGCTAAGTTGAGTTAAGAGCATTTGCAGTAAGTGAAAGACTTCCCAACTTCCTAAAGTAAACAGCAAAGAAACTTCACAGATACTAAAGAAAATACCTTTTCTTTCTTTGTTTTTTTTTTTTTTTTTTTGCTTTGCAGGTACTTTCAGTGGATATAACGCATATTTAAGCAGAGCTACTTTGTCAGACAGCCTTACAAATACAGCTTGGTTACACCCTCGAAGTGTTTTAGGAGGTAGGCCGTGCAAAAAATAACATATAAATGGGAGTTGCACTCAAAACACAGGGCTGGTAATTAAACAGGATAACATATATCACATCCCTACTCTGCAGTTTTTTATCATTGCCAAAACTGAACACAAAGGTTTGGGGAAAATGACATAGAAGCAGCTAATCTCATGAATTGAAGAAATGTCAAATCTAACTCATATGTATCTCCAAAAAACCGCATATATTTTAAGCAATATCTTATCACTCCTTACGCTGCGATTGTAATAAAAGTGCAGGTAAATAACTTGGCTTCCCTTCTGTCAACAGGGGCGTAAATGGAGACAAAGACAGCAAAGAGATAGACCAAAGCAAGGGCAGTGATAGTGAACAACCCATCTCACACACTGAGGACTTATCGATGGACTCATTACTCTCTGGCTGTATCAAGCAAACCAAGGCCACATCTCTTTTTTATTGTCACACACACTCACACACACACCGCCATACACATGACTTTCTCCTAACACGCATATCCTCTCGTTTGTCTCAGAACTCCCTCCCTCCCTCCCTGCCTCTCTATTTCCACACAATGCATCACACTCGGTGTTCCTATCGACTGGCTTACATGCTGTAAAATACATTTTCCAGATTGATCACGCATATCACAGCAGCTTTGCAGCGGGGGCCCCATAACCCCTTTTTGCCAAATGACGCCCACGTCAATACAGAGCATGCAATGCGCTCTCAGCGCAGAGTATTTATTTATTTCTTTTTATTTTAAGAATGGGTGGAGGGTATTGCAGAGAATCACCTTGATTAAGCCACACGAGGAAGGTTACAGAGGGGCTCTGTGTTAGAGGCGTCCCTATGGGGGAAATATTACACATTAATGCCCTCACAGGCTGGCATTGTCTCCTTGTTTTTGTATCCAGTTATGTCATGGCTCTTCCCGCATGTAATATGTGCCTCTATTGTATAATTATTATCCCCCCTTTAATCCCGCATAACAATTTATTTTCACAGGTAGGTTTTAACAATGGTTTCAGCAACTGTAGCTGCAGCACACATGAAAAAAGCAGCACATTCCCTCTGATTGGTTAAAACCCCCCATTTGATCCCCAGGAAAATGCTTGAGAGTGAGACATCGTTGCCTATTACTTTTTTAATAGTACAGTCACCATCACACAACTTCATCAACCGACCCTTCTGCCAAAAAAATAAAATAAAAATAAAATAAAAAATAAAATGAAAGCTGCATCATGGAGTAAGCAAAATTGAAGGCAACAACCAATAAAATTCAAGAAAACAACGAAAATCTTCAAGACGAAACAAACAAAATGTATTTGAAATGATATATTAAAAGTGCTTTTTTGAATTTCATGTCTCACCATTTTTTTTTGTTTTTGTTTGTTTGTTTCATGTGACTGATGATCGACTCCACACGCACTCATGGTCCAGGAGAGGGAATGGAAGGAAGGGGGGTGGGGGGTGGGGGGAGCCCCAGACGGAGTAAAAATGTCAGTAAAAACGTCCTGGAGGTCAGTTTTGTTTTTGCTGCTTCTGCTGCAGGTCCATCGTATCAGTTTGGGTTGGGGGTGGGGGGATGCAATAAAAAAAATTAAATAAAATAAAAAGTTCAACCATCAGTGTTGAAATTGTCACAGCGATTAGACTGTTTCTTATTCGTCTAAATTCATTTTATTTGTCTTGTTTTTCTTATTCTTTTAAATTCTCACTTCAATTTTTAATTCCTGGAGAACATAGCTTCGACAACATATATCGCACTCATTATAAGAAGCAAAAGGTTATATCAAAAAATTATTAGTATAGAATCACAGAAACCCTGGTTTAGAACCAGAAAAAATACAAAACAGAGAGGTACATAGACACAGGACAATTCTTATAATTGCTTGGAAACATTATTTTCCCGCTAAGTCTTGATTCAATTTTTTTTTCTTACTGCGCATATGATGTTTTTCCATTTTATTTGTTTTTTTTTTACAAAAAAAAAAAAAAGAAAATAAAGACTAGTATTTTACAAAATGAAGAGTATTGTTCTTGAAGATGATGGATGCGGATTTACACAGGCGCAAAGTCCAGTTCCAATATTTTTCTGTACATAATGTAATCCATCGCAGTCCCAGAAGACAGAAAAAAAGTAATGTCTTCCGCAAAGTTTCTCAGAAAAAAACGGTCCTATATATAGTCTTCTTGAAGGAGGATTGGGGGTGCAGAAATTTGGTCCTCTTTTCCCTCCTCCTCTCTGTTTTTTTTGTCATATAAGGATCATTGGATGGACATGTAAGGCCAGTTGAAGCTGCTCCCGGATAATAGCATATCCCTGATGAGGGTTTCAATAGGAGTTTTACCTACCAAGCGAACGAAGAACAGCTGTTCGATTACCGAGGAGGAGACGGTGCGTAGAGAGGGCAGCCGCAGCAGGAGCTTGCCAAAGCGGCTAGGTTGGTTGGGGTACTGGCTCCTGACGTACTCCTCCAGGGCGCACTGCGACTTCTCCTGTAGGCTCTCGATGTGAGCGGCATCTGACAGGCCGCAAGCGTCTAAGGAAGAAAAAACACGGACAAACACACACAATGTAATCAGCTGGGGTGCCATATGCAGAGTAGAGATCTTAAAATTAAGCAAAATCTAAAAATATGCGATTCAAAGATATGCCCTGTATGCCAGAGCTAGAGTAGATACAAGTCATTCAGAATGCAAAGGCCTTCTTTTAACGGTTTAAACTATTTATGAGATTTTTTTTTAATTATAAATATAGTCCAGGTTGAAATTTAGGAAAGCTTGTTGACTTTTTTTTTAAACGCACACCCTTTCATACCCAGCTTGAGTCGTGTGTAATGTATTTGGTAATCACGTGTTTTTTTGACAATGTGGTTTGGACGAACAAGGCTGCCCAAACATGCTGCATCACACTCACTGTCATACAGGGTAAACAAAGAGAGCATGCTGCTGCAGAAAAAGCGATGCACAGTCCAGCGCAACCAGCGACAATTTAGAAGTACTTTTTGGCACAGTGAGCGTGTTTACACCTAAAGGTGACGGGGAAAGTTTGAGAAATAACAAAAAAAAAAAAAAAAAAAGGCAAACAAACAACATAAGGTAGGCTACATGCAGGCCCAAAGGCCGCTGCTCTTTATGTCTGAGCTCGGGGGATTTAAGTGTAAACGGCACTGATGAATCTGAAATTACACTGGATGTAATGTGACCTAATTACTCTGCAGTAAGCTGTTAAGTGATTTCGCCGGCTCTTCTCTCCAAAGACCACTCTTGGCCTGTTTTTTTTTTTTTCTTCTTCCCAGATTGTAGCCAATAGGACAGGCCTGTTAAAAGCGATCAGATTTATCAGAGGAGGGTGAAGGAAACAGCGTCGCACAGCAGCGACATGAAAATGTTGAAAAATGAAAGCATGGGGATACGCGCTTGGTGGCCTCTGTTGTCAACGCTCTGTTTAGGGCGCACAAAGGGGACACAAGGCTTGTTGGTGTCATGCACACGTTCTCTCCTTCACTGCCGTGAAAAAACTTTTTTTTTCTATCAAACCAAACTTATAAAGTGGTGTAACCGCTGACATGCATAGTCCTAAAAGAATAATCCTCAGACATGTCATTGTATTCAGTGTTGTTTTTGTAAAAAAAAAAAAAAAAAAAATGCAGATGAAAGAAAGGCACTCAGCTCTATAAGCGGCTAAACAGAGGCTTTGGAGCCCATTCTTAATTTCTCACTATAACTCACTATGGCCCAGACACAATAACCCCATGAACTCGAGGGCAACCCAGAGATCTCCCTGTGATTTACTGTGACCTCAATCCGGCCACTCACAGCCCCCATGTATGCAAATCGCTGTGAGTGTCTGTTCAAAAACGGCACCGATCGATGCGGTTCTTAAATTAATTATTTTGAGACAAAACATGCAGAGATCCAAAATGAATTTTGCAGTATTAGAGAATAAAAAAACTCAATGCATGCGCGAGGAGAAGGTCGGTCAAAGACAATCCATAGTTCTCCACAAGGGCACCCTGTTAATATACCCCACCAACCGACTGGAGCAGGGGGGCATATAGCCTTCATATCCCGACCAAGAGTTCTGTAGAACCCAACAAAGCAGTCTGTGCAAACATGGTTGCAAGAGAGGTCAATGCAGGACAATGATCAGATCTTTGGAGAAAACAGTTTCCCCTGGTCAGTCGTTATTCATGTATGCTATACTGACAGGGCTGCTGTGTTATGGGAGGCAAACAAATCTACTCTGATCCTGGCAAAGTGCCACGTGACTTTCTAGAGTCGACACCAGTTTTGTAGCTCATCACACTAACTAAATAATCTGTTGGAAAACATGGGGGAACGCTAATGTGTGGGTATGTATGTGTGCATGTGGGTGTGTGTGTTTAGCTTCTCTTGCTTGGATGCATTTCTGTACATCTTACTCACAAACTGTTTCAATACCAAGGTGACAAAGTCAAATATAAACAAACCAAAAATCACCCCCCAAAAACTTTCCTTTCACATTGAGACCGGGAATTAAACTAGAAATACACCTTTGAAATTAGTCTGAGCAGTTGGCTATTCATTTGCCTACTCTCTAATAACATAATTAAATAAATTACATTTGAAAATAGTACCACGACAATATAGCCTATATATATATTTTTTAAATATAATTCATTTTACATGCAATTTAGAGAATAATAACATTTCTAGGTTAATTTGCCGTGATAAAAAAATATATATATTAGTTGATAAATAATTAAAAAATTAAACGCATCTAATTATGAACAATCTGCATTGTATTTCAAATAATATAATATAATATAAAGTGAAATAATTAATGTTAATTCTCAAAAAATATATATAAATAAAATTCTAATTACTAAAATATGCTAATGTGCGTCTTCTTTTACAAGAATATTGGATAAAATTGTTATAAAATCCCCTAATAGTAATAATAATAAAGAAGTTCAGCTGAATACTTATGATCATATCCAATGACAGGTTATGTAACTCTTGGTTCAGTGTCATTGCAAACTCGATGAATTTTAGTTTAAAACTTTAAGCAAACTTTATCAGTAGTTTTCTGAGTTTAGACGCTCGTTTTCCTTTTCTCCAGACATTACAGACCCTAATAGCACCAGGCGCACACAAATAACTCCAAAATAGCCTCTAAATTACGCAGCTGAGAGTAAGTAGGGACATTTAAGGACCCCGTACCCCAGTCAGGCATCAATTAAGCTATCAACAATGTAGGTTACTTTTGAAAAGTGCCGCTGATTACTTTTCAAAGCTGTACAACGCAGAAAATATCCTCAGTAAGTAAGAAAATTAATGGGTCAGCTAAGATTAATCTACTAATAACTTGTGTTATTAAGTGCAGCTCCGTGTGCACTCATATGTGAGTCAACTTCCATCAGCCTTTTTCTTTTTTTAATATATATATATATATATATATATATATATATCTCAGTCTGTTAGGGATTATTTCCTGCCCCCGAAGACATGTGTTTGCTCACGAAAAAAAAAAAAAAAACACGGATAAAAGCGAACAGGCACGCTCATAAACGCATCAGCTGTCATAAATCACCCACTGACAAAGACTTTTTTCTTATTTACGCTCAATTATTTGACACCTGTTCCAAAATGGACACGGGAACCCTCGGCTTCAGTTAAGACGTTTTGGTAGAAAAAAAAAAATTTAAATCCCTCCGAAATTATATCTTAATTATGATGCGATTGTACATAATCTCCTATTTAAATGGGCTTTCAACTTAAACTTGATACACTACTCAATCTGGGTTTGTTTACTCGTCTTATGCTGCGGCTGCATTTGACATGGGAATGCATGTCAGTGGATATCAAGCAAGCTGTTGACAAAATGGCTCTTTCATCGGCCACACAAACATCTCTAGCACTAAGCTGCTGCCTGACAGCCATGTTCCTGATGCCTCTGCACGCATGTGACGACCAGAAGCAGGCATCGTTTCATTCTAAACATGTCCATCTGTGTTTAAGTGTGTCCCTATTTGTGCGAGGCAGTGCTCTGGACAACCCACCCGATGTAAAAAGCACGATGGCCTTGAGGCAGCTGTACTCCGCCGAGTCTACGTGCAGGGTCTTGAGCTTCTCCACTTGCTCCTGGAAGATCCGGATGTGGTCCATGAAAGCCACGACGCGGTCCGCGGACATTGGTGAAGCGTGCAGGCCCGCCGCAGCGAGCAGAGGGGCCACATGCAGAGGCATGGAGCACTGAGCCGCGTTAAGCACAAACAACTCGCTCCACGTCAGCCTGAGAAGAGACACCTGGTCGGTGATCTGCAGGTCGGGGAAGAAGGGGATGTTCCTCGCCCACTCCACGGCGCTGAAGAGCAAGCGTGCCGCCAGCTCGCAGATGTTCTCGATGCCCATGATGTTGTTGGGTTGCATGCACTGGCTCCCGTACCGAGAGGTCGGGTAAGGCTCAGCTCGCAGCAGTAATGAGATGTATCCTGACAGATAGCAGTGGCCGTTCAGGGGGTCCCCGTTCGTCAACGCGTACTGGCCTGGGTTCGGTTGGGTTGGAGGCATTCTTCCTCGCTGAACCGCTGACAAAAAGAAAGAGAAAAAGAGGAAATGTGCATCCAGGACTGATAAACATTGTCCAAGAGTAGTGCTTCTTTTTTTCTTTTATTTATAAAAATGTCATGCAATAAAAATCAAATCAATAAAAAAACATTCTTTAAAGCAAATTATCCCATAAAGGACAAGATATTAAATATGTCCTGTATCACTTAATCTTCACTCTGAATTTGTAATATTAGGATACAGGCTGTACAGCTGGTTTCTATGCATGTGAAAATATATTCACACATAAATTACATCCATGTTTCGCTATTAGCAATATTGCAATAGTCTACATTCTGTTTATGCATAATTTATTAATTTAGTTTTACTTAAACTATTGCTTATTTTTGGCCATGCAGGTTCGAAATATAAAGGACAATTGTTCTAAAATTATCAGCATAATTTCATATTTTATCCAAGCCTAAAGGTCAGCTGGGAATAAGAAGGGAATTTAGCTCATGCGTATTACTTTAATAAATTATTAATATAGGGGGGATTTGGTGTGCACGTCAAATAACAGCTAAGTTAAATGTAGGGGGTGTCTTTGTCAATTTGGAAAAAAATAAAGAAAAAAACTGTTGACAAAGAGGGGAAAGTTAGATGGCCTCAAATGCAAAGCAAGCAAAAACAATGAGGCATGAACAACTTGAACGACGTGATTCAGTGTGTCTGAGCTGCCCAGTCAGCACAGAGACGTGGCTTTGTTGTGCGCTCATTTTCACATTTATACACACACATTCCACGTAGAAATCCTGTTGTGTAATTGTAAATTAGTAGGATTACTTAAGGGGACTTCGAAAAAGGACTATAAGCCTGATACTCAAACTCCAAACATAAACACTAACACTAACACACACACACACACACACACACCAAAGGGGGGATACGAACGCTTCAATTATACGCGTAAATTCACTATTCTACGCTGAACCTCAACGTGAATTAGATTTGCAGGGAGATGGAGAGTTTTTGACTGAAAGATAAACCAAAATAAATGAAAATGGAGGTTAACAAGAGCAGCCGCTTTGTTCAGGCGACTTGCATTCACAGGCATGTAACTGCCGCTGCACTGGCCTTTCACCTCCAAAACACACCCCAACGCAAAACCCTAAAACACCAGCCCTCCATGTAAACATCCCGCCAAATTAGATAAATAAACCAAACATGGATGGAGAATATAGTAGTAGCTATAGCCTATGCCCAGCTATAAAGCCTGTGACCTTAATGCAACATGGCAGCCCTCTCACTGCTGCTGCTATTCTAGGATGCGTAATCATGAGTGGGGCTTTAAAACATATATTCACCTTCCCGCCGCATCCCCACTTTTAAGCACTTCTTCAGCCGGCAGTATTGGCACTGGTTTCGGTGATGCTGGTCAATTGGACAGTTCCTATTGGCACGACATGAGTACGTTAAGTTCCTGCGTACACTCCTCTTGAAGAAACTTTTGCATCCCTCGCAGGTGAACTGGCCATAGTGTTTGCCGCTCGATTTGTCCCCGCAAACCACACATTCAATATGCTGCTGGCTCTGTCCGGAATTCTGGCTCCCTTTATCCCCGGCGGTCCCCGGCGTGGACGGGGGTCCCGGCTGGCTGGGGGTCTGCGGAGTGTGCGGCGCCGCCGACGCCGCCTGCTGCTGCTCCCTCGCCGGCTGCGCTGCTGGGTTGGGGCCGTTCGGAGGTCCTCCGGCCACGTCTTCCTGCGGATCTCGCCAGACGCTAACTACCATTGCCATATCTCGGCCCCGGAAAGTGCTGTAAAGCGAAATGATCGCCGATGTTTATGGAGCGTAGAGAAGGAAGAAAAAAAATCTCAAAAGATGGGACAGTGCAAAGTCAAATCGAAGCACGCAATCTCATATGGGTGATAAGAGAGAGAGCAAACGCGATCAATACATTCAAAAATCAGAAGGCACCCGATCAGGATATGCAAGTATCGGGAGGCCAGTTCCAAGGTAAATTGCAGTCAGCCATTCAGGAATCCCTAATCTTGTAGGAAAACCCGAGTCCAGACGTAAAAAAATACAGTCAGATAAAAAAATAGCCACAAAAGAAAGGCAGGAGCGTGTAAAAAAACCAAAACCTTGTCGCTGGAAAGACGCGATCCAAAGTGCTGCGGAGATAAATTCCTCTCTCCTTTCTTCCCCTTGCTCCTTTACTCTCCCGTCTTCGTCGTATAGGAGGAGGAGGAGGAGAAAAAAAAAACTGAAGAGCTGGGCTTTTTACATCTATATTCTTAAATAAACCTCATCATCTCGCCCAGCTGCGAAGGAGAACCGCGTCGCCGAATGAAGTACCCATGTATAGTTTCACCTCTCTCCAGCGGGGAGGAACGGGGATACGAAGAGGAAAAAAGACTGAGGAAAAAAGGAAAAAAAGAAGAAAAAACACCAACTAGTACTAATAGGATATGCAAGAAGAAGAAGGAGAGACCCCCAAAAATGAATGCGCTTAAACGAGAGGACCAGCAGAGCAATGTTTCCGAAACGGGGGATCTGCGCGAATGTCTGTATATAGTGAACTTTGACACTACTATTGAAACTGACACGTTTCTATGGAGATCGCTGCGCCTTATATGGTGCTCATGTCAAGGAGCCAAGAGAGGGGCTGCTGGAGACTGATAATCAAAGAGGACTGACTGGCCAGAGCCCTGCATAGAGGAGGAGGAGAGGAGGGGGGATAGAGGGAGAGAGAAAATGGGAGGCTAAGGTTATAGCCAAGCCCTCTCTTTCTCTCCATTGGTTAGAGCCCCCCTCCTCCGTTAGAGCGCTGCAAAAAATATCCAACTAGATAAATCATTTGCTCTCATATTGGATCACAAAATTGTCTCTATTTTATTAGTATAAACACCAAGCGCGCATTGTAGAGTTCCGCGTAATTTTCTCTACCGCTACAAGTGATAAATAGCATGTTGTCTTATAATATTCCAAATTAGGGATATTCTCTTATTAAAAAAAATAATAATAAAATGGAAAAGGAATTTACATCTTCCGATCGAAAAGCGGTCAAAGAGCAAGATCCAACATCCATTTGGTCCTTATCTATATCTAGGATTTTCCAGCCTCGGTGCTGAACTGTCTGAGGATGGATATTTTTTACAGTGTGGGCATGAACGACTGGAGGGGGCTTGGGAGGAGAGGGGGGGGGACTCTGACAGGCACAATTTACATTGAGCTCGCCCCGCGCTGCTATTTACTTTGAAACCTGATTAGTATGGGCCGTCTATTGTCACCAAAAAGAGGAAGAAACCCTGGATAGAATAGCGAAAAAAGCGGGTTAAAGGCAAGAGAGGGAGAGAGAGAAGACGAGAGAAAAAGAGAGAGAGGAGGTGGTGGTGGAGGGTTGGGGGTAAAGCTTTTAAGCACGACAAATAAAACCAAAAACTGTGCGCAGCCACCAAAAGGGGGGAATCTGACTCAGATTTCCCCCCCTTAAAGTTTCAAAATGCCTTGTCTCGGACTGTTGTCTTTATTATAAAACTAACGGGGGTCTCTGCTGCTTTGGAGCGGATTATTATTTTCACACGCTGTTTTTTTTTGTGTGTGTGTGTGTCCTTGGCATGCGCATTGCGGTACAGCGATCGGCTGTAATCGCCACCAGATTTGCTCATTAAAACTTATAATTTAGTTTAAAAGCAGTTTAGGAAATTATCACCGTGGAGAAACGATGCGCAAATACCGCGTTATGCCGGATGCGTTTTTCAGATGCGGGCAATTTCTCGAAACTGGAAACGATGTTTAACAATTACCAACATCCCACAGTCTCACAAACACTTACACGGGAGTGGCTTTATGTGTTAATGATGAGATGAATTCAAAATCCAGTGAAGTTACGGGGGATTTTCACGGGGATTGCAGCTTTTATGCATCAGTGTTTCTGCAGGCTTCTCAGACTCAAAAATGTCTGGAGCGCGCTGCCATCTAGCGTACGTTGTGTAATTACACCCCTATAATAATCAACGTACAAGCCATCAAACTTGCATTTTTAAGCGTTTAAACTTATGAATTAATAATAATAAAATAAAATAAAACACGTTTTAATGTGCCCAAATTGTTTTGCGCAGCTCATGCAACAAAATTAGACAGGCTAAGGCTGTCTGATGACAAAAACAAATAATTAAGAAAAAAGTATTAATTAGATCAGTAAATTCCACAGAATTATTTCAACGTGCTTTAAAACGGCGCATAATTTATACAGATATATATAAATACGAAGTAAAAAAGTTCAAATTTAATCTACAAGCTTATCAAACTCTTAAAGTCATAAAGGCTACTTTAAGACAACAGAGTATTTAGGATGGACCCCAATAGATATACTATATATATAAAAAAAGATATAACATAGCATTAATATGCAACAGCCCTGTTTGAAAGCAGCATGTAATAAGGATGGCTTGTTTTTTTTTAGGTATTCAACAAGAGAGCTCTCTCTCACTGTCCCTGTATCGGACACACACACCATGGAAACTCTCCGGCCATGTCTCCAGCTCTCTGAAAAGGTGAAACCAATAAGATTAAATTGGACAAAGCATTTTCCCCCCTTTGGTGTATCATTAAGATTTAACTCCGCACATACGCTAAAAGAAAGTGGGTCCGCATGAGGGAAGAAGAACAGAGAGGAGAGGAGTGAGAGGGGGAAGCGGAATGGGAAGCGGGGTAGATATATTGGAGAGGCTTTGATAGAAACCTGCGCGCGGAGAAAGTGGACGAGCGGGATGCTGGCGCAGGAGCAGCAGCTTTACGCACACAGAGAAGGTGAGAAGCACTTTTTTTGTTGTTTGTTTTTCACTTATTTCTAACTCTAGCAACAAGCGCGTCGATCTTAATGTGGGGAGGAATTATCCGAGTCGCGCCACTTCACCATCGGTGCATGCAGAGTGGAAACTTTTCATTTAGTTGAGGGTAAGCATCTATTTATTTTCTTTCGAGCACATCGCCGCGGCTTATCGCATCCTTTGCAAGTTTCCTCCTGCGGACCAGATCAACAGACAACCTAGAAAAGCTCGGTTGTATTCTGCAGCGGGACATGAGAGGCATTCTCTGTTTGCTCCCATTAAAATCAGTTTGTTCCCTGAACGCATAATGAAAAGATCAATAGCTTTCCGTTTGTCTCAGCGATAGTGTCACCGAATTATAACTGTGATCCAGACGGGGCTCTTCTTCCAGATCCTGTTCAGCTACGAATAGTGAATCCAACACAAGGAGAGTAAAATGAAAATATGCGCGTAAAATTTAATCAGCGGTGCACCGATATTTGTTATGCATTAACAGCAGCATTAGGCTTTTATGCCAATGTTGCCCAGGTTAACTTTACCCTAGAAGTAGACTATATCTATTTGCATTCCACTTTATCTCCCCCCCCCTCCCCCCCCACCCCGCGTGATAATCCATCTTAATTAATCATTTTAAATTTGATCATATTTATTTTCGGTCTTCCTTTATAAGTTTCAACCCAATCTTAAAATAAATAAAAGCTACCAATCAAGTAAGCGTAAAATCATGAATTAATTCTATCAATAAGTATATTAACCATTTGTTTTATGTAGAAACAGAGTGATAAGCTGAAATTTTTACTTTACTAAACTATACTATATATATATATATATANATATATATATATATATATATATATATATATATATATATATATATATATATATATATATATATATATATATATAATATTTAATTGCACCAGAATAGCCCATCTTGCATGATTGCATACCTATAATAGTTTTTACAAATGAGCTTAATTAAACATTTATACGGGAAGCACGTTGGAGTTTTGCTTAATCTAGAATCAATATGTTTTAGGGCTTCCACCAAATACAGAAATCACCGAGCAAAGCAGCACAAACAGTTGGGAAAACACTGAGGTCACAAGTGCACCCGCCCTCCCCCCCACAATTTCTCCCCCCTAAATAAAACAACACATGAAGCAACAACGCTCTTTAGAGGTTCCTAAACTGCTGCAGACGGATACTGAGCTTTATAAATGGCTGAGGGTAGGTTTATTATTGATTGTGTGTAATCACATCAAGATTCTAACCAAAGCTGCAGTCAATAGGACACTGTGTGGGCTTACAGGGTGATTTCCTCCATCCCTGGGCCCTCAGAGGCAAACATCCCATGCCCCTTTAACACCTGCAAAATAATAGTAATATAACACACACAAAAAAATAACCAAACAAAAAACTAATTGTCAAATTTATGTGTGCAATTTGATTCAATAGTTTGATATTTATGAAATGACTTAGATTGAGCCACATTTATGACTTCACTCTAGGTTTCTGTAGAGTACAGGGAAAGTTTGTGGAAAAGGTCATTTCCGTAGTTGGAACATAGTGAGAAATTCCCCAGGCTCTGTGCAATAACAATATTTTACATGCTATTAGCATTTGACAGCACATTAGATGCATTATGAGCCCAAAGATAAGATAGAAAAAAAATACAGAATAGCCTACAAGATAACTGCTGGAGTTCAAATTATAATAAATAAAAAATAGATTGGGTTACGATGGTATAGGAGCTGTATTATCATTAATCTTTGTCTAAACATTTACATTAATTACTTTTCCAACTGGGTTAATGATCTGAACTGTTTTAGCTTACAATTTAATTATTTACTTTAGTCCAAATAGAACACATATTAAATGGCGTTGTTAATGACAAATAAATGTGTAATTTGACCTAAAACGTTAAACTTGGGACATAAAACCCTGAAATCAGGACTATAAACAACCTACAAACAATTTTGTGCATTTGCAATATATAATCAGCAAAAAAAGAGAATCAAATGCAATTGGGATTTTGTAGTTTATGGAGGCTGTGTGAAGGAAGGGTAAAAGGGGGAATTCCTTTTTTATCTGACCCCTAGATTATTGTGAGGGGACACATGGGTCTCTAAAAGGGCGTAGAAGTTACCTTGCATTTATTTTCCTGCAAATGGATAAAAAAAAATGTTAGCAAAGAGAAATCTAATGACTCTAGGCGGATTGAGAAAAGGTATAGCTATTCTTGATCCTGTGCTGAACATTTAACATCCAATATAAACAAATAAAAAGGTTTGCTATAGCCTTTCTGGAAGATGCATTGACAGTTTGTGGATAATTTACATTTGTGATTAAAATTTCAAGAAGCAAATACAATCAAACAAACAAAAAAAAAAAAAAAAAACCCTGCAAAATTCTGTTGTTTTATCATTATTACACAACTTATATAACTCTGTGATAAAAGAGACAAAAGTTCAGCTGTAAATTATCCTACACTCCAGCTACAGTTGAAGTATTTATTTCCATCACTTTAATTGAAGACAATAACTACAACGAGTCTCCCAATTACTCCTGAGGTTTGAACCAAGTCAGAGCCACTGTCACTTTCTGCAATGGGCTCTGGCTTTATTGCTCACTAACCATCATTTCGTTTAGAGCTCTGCGTGCTAATTACTTTGGATGGTCCCAGAGACGGAGATTATAAATCCATTAGAGCTGAAACCCTCGTGGTTCTACAAATGCAAACACTGTAATTTGGTAGAACACCCCAAAAACCAAAGTTTAAGTAGGAAGAGGCTGAGGAGGG